GGGGGGACTGAGGGAGAGAGATGGGGGGAGACTGAGGGAGAGAGATGGGGGGAACTGAGGGAGAGATATGGGGGGGGGGGCTGAGTGGGAGAGATGGGACGGAAACTGAGGGAGGTATAGGGGGAGAAAACTGAGTGTGGGACGGGGGGCGAGGGGGGACGACATACACACAGCACCCCTGCCCTACACATATCACCCCACACAAAGACACCCACACATCACCCTACCCACACATCACATCACCCCACCCACACACACACACACACACACACAAACACATACAATGTACCCCTCAATGCAGTGTGTGTACACTCAGCAGTCTGTCTGTGTGTGTACACTCAGCAGTCTGTGTGTGTGTGTACACTCAGTAGTCTGTGTGTGTGTGTACACTCAGCAGTCTGTGTGTGTGTGTACACTCAGCAGTCTCTGTGTGTGTGTACACTCAGCAGTCTGTGTGTGTGTGTACACTCAGCAGTCTGTGTGTGTGTGTACACTCAGCAGTCTGTGTGTGTGTGTACACTCAGCAGTCTGTGTGTGTACACTCAGCAGTCTGTGTGTGTGTATTTAGCAGTGTGTGTGTGTGTGTACTCGGCAGTGTGTGTGTGCGTGTGTATTTAGCAGTCTGTGTGTGTGTATTCAGCAGACTGTGTACTCAGCAGTCTGTGTGTGTATTCAGCAGTCTGCTAAATACAGACAGACTGCTAAGTACACAGACAGACTGCTAAGTACACACAGACAGACTGCTAAATACACACACAGAGATGTTAATTAGTTCGGACAACTGTATGAGTTGTTTTTTCGAAACTTAAACCTCAGTATTCAGGTTTAAATGCCGTTTAGGCACTTTGAGGGGAAAAAAAATTGGCATGTATTACGGTTTGGGCACTCGGGCTCAAAAAGGTTCGCCATCACTGGTATAGGGGGAAGTAGCAAGTGTGTGCATAGGGTCTGCAGTGTATGTGTGTGTATAGGTTATGTAGTGAGTAAATGTGTCTATATGGGATCTAGTTTGAGCATAGTGGATACTTAGTGTGTATATAGGATATCAGGAATGTTGTGTGTGTAGGTGTTGCAGTGTATCTACATGGGATCCAGTGTTTGTGTAAGGGGTACGGTGTGTGTGAATTTGTTGGTCCTGTATTATGTGGGGGGTGAGAGGGGAGAAATGTAATATATATATAGATACATATATTGTTTACAATTTAATCAATTATAAAATTAAACATAATCTCCCTTCCTTTCTTCTTACCTTTGGTCAGGAAGGGGGGACATTAAAAAGCCCTGGTGGTGTTTGGTGACTGTAAACCGGCACCCGCTGGAGTTTACTCTTGTCGCATGCGTGCTGTGTATGAGTGTTGCCAGAGGTTACCACCATGGTAGCCCCGGCATCGCTCCAAACCGCAGAGCTCATGAGAGAAATCCCATGCACTGGGCTGAGGTGCAGGTTAGCACCTCCATGGACCTCTCTCCTAACTTATCATGCTGATCAGGGCTGTGAATACCACAAAGCAAGATCAGAGCCAACCCTGCATGTGATCTCCTCCTGTCAGTCCTCGGCCCATGGCCAACACTGCCCACCAGGCATTTGCCCAGTTTGCACGATGGCCAGTCTGGGCCTAGTAGCGTATCAAGCTATAGTGCCATACATACAGGTTACTTGCTCCATGGCCACTTCTGAAAGCTGGTTAGAGTAACTGTTTACCAACTGAATGTTCTACATAACTCTCACCATAGAATGTTAAATATTGGGGTTTATTTGCTAATTATGGTGAAATGAAAATTGAATTGCAAAAATAGCCTGTTTAAATACAAATGAAGTAGAGAATGTTTCTCGTGTAGCTATTATGGTATACATTTGCAGTTTGGTTTTCGGTACGCCACAATTCACAGTTTAGTGAATAAACTCCAATTGGTTCATATTTTATTATAGACAGCAACATAACAATGATATAGATAGCAACGGAACAATTATTCGTTACACTGTTATAGATAGCAACATAATTATTCCATACACTGTTCAATTTTAGTTGACTATTTCCGCTATTTATAGATTCAGACCTTGTGCCTCCAGTTTCAGAAATGTATCAGTTTCACATAGAGACATTTACTAGAAATTACCCTTTTCAAAAATATCTTGCATAACAATGCTGCTGAACATGTTTATATTTTGCTATTAAAGGGACAATAGCACAGTTTATGCTTTAAATAAGACATGAATATTTCTCAGAACAGTAAAAATTTAAAGACATGCACATTGTAACACAACATATGATTATATTTTATTAATTCACGGAACCCAATACAGAATTTGGTCTGCATCCTCCTTAAAGCAACACTTCACTCTCAGTGTTTTCCATGTTTTTTAAAGATACATTTCCCCTCCCCCACCAAAGTGAAGAAGTGGAAGGTAGACATACTTACCTTAACGTTTTGCTTCTCTGCACTATTTTCTTTTTTGGACAGATCTTTAGATATTGATGATTTTGTCTTCCAAGAGTCATATCACTATTTGTACTTGTGAATATTCAAGAGCATAAAGTCTATGGCAGATTTTGATGATCGTGGGACTTTATGTAAAATTCTGTTTTACTTGAGCAAAGAAATACTACAGGCCAGTCGTATCAGCCATCATGTTTGAATATTCTGCCCACTGACACATTTTCCCATAGACTGCCATAAATCGTCTTACTTGTAAGTTTGTTAAAAAGGCCATAAAACAACATGGTGAAGTACATTCCAGTTAATCTTCATAATGGGATACAATCCCTGACTTACAGATGCCTATAAAATGACTTCCTGGAGCAAACATAGACCTGTGTTCCATTAAAGGAACACTCCAAGCATCAAAACATGAATGAAGCAGTTTGGTTTTATATATATATATATATATATATATAGTACTGTGCGTGGTGAACAATTCTCCAGAGTGTTTAGTATACCTGCTGGAGAGGCCAGCTGGATCTAGTCCCCATAGTTATACGAGAACTGATGGTCTGCACCACCACAATTCCTCTTTCCCTCTGTGGTGAAATCCTGGACATCTGTTTTCCAGTATGTTTAGTGTATTTATTGGAATAATGGGCTGGAGGAATGAAGTTGCAGCTGGATTTCCAAAGTGCTAAGAGAACTGGGAACGTTGCACCTCCAGAATCCAGATCTGATTTCCCAAGGATTTGTCTTTAACTTTTGTGGCCTAACACAGAACTGGGACAGATTTGCTGAGACTGGTGAACTGTTCTTTAGCGTGCTTTATGTATTTACAGGGGAAACTATTTTGCAGGGGTTAATAGAAACATTTTGGAGAGGGTACTGAAAGCTTTTTCCTCCTTGTGGTTTGGCAGCGATTTGGGAATGTAACCGGGATACAACTTCCCACTTCTAAAAGTGTGCTTGAAGAAGGTAGAACCCAGCAATTGTGTAGTTTACATGGCCTTTTTATCTCACTGACTGTTTCAAATATATATATTTGGATTAAAAAAAGAAAGACAATTAGCTTGCTTTTAACTTGCAAATCTTGCCAGGGTGGGGGAGAGGGGTTGGGGGGAATGAAGTTTTATCAGTGAGTGTTTTGAATGCAGTTATCTACGTGTTTTTACTTCCTACAGTTTTTACTAGAATTAGTAGACAAGCTGTGGAAATAATATGGGGATTTTAGCAAATATTGCAAGAGCATTTTCAAAGAGTTTACTATTTTTAGAAAAACCACAAAGTGTTTTATAGTTAAAATGACAAAACTGCCTCAGATAACCTTGGTATTTCAAGCAACAATAACCACAAAGATCTTAAGGACCATTTGTGTGAAAAAATAACGCATTAATACTATATGATACAATATAATATAATTATTATCTATATTATTATAGATACTGTGTATAATTAATAGATCGTAACATTTCTGTTAGAAATCCTCTAGTCAAATCACTAACATGTATTTAGAATTTGTTCTAAATTTTGAAGATGTGACCATATACTTCTATGTACCCTTGGAATTGTGGTTGACAAAAATCTGTCTTTTTTATGCCAATGAAACCACGGCGCTGTCTAATAAATGGCCAATGGTGCTATCGTTTCTATAGTATCTTATGGATTAATTACAGGGTTATTTACTAAATTGGGAATTCATGGTGATTTCATGTAAACAGGCTGTTGATCGAAGGAGAAATATGATTACTCTTATGGAGTCAAGAAGGAACTGTTTCCCTTTTTTGTGTAATAATTGTAAATGGCTACAATTGTTTTGAGTTTTTTTTTTTTGCCTTTTTTGGATCAACAGAATACAAGAATTGGTTTCAATGTTGAACTTGATAGACTTTTTATTCAACCTAAACTACCTTGTAACTATGCAACTATGTAATTCTCAAAGTGAATCTCAAATTAAA